TGTTGAGCTGCAGTGCAGTTGCTGTTGTGAAGGCAAATACCCTCAGGGACCGGCTGCCAGGGAAAGCGAGGGGAAAGCTTCAAAGAGCATGAGGATTTAGTGCTTGCAGAAGTGCTTGCTGTCAGCACCAAGGCAGGGTGAGTCAGAGAGCAAGGACCGGGTGGGCATGGACAAAGCAAGAGTCCATACCAGACTGATCCAAGGAGAGGCAGATCGGATTGGTGGGGATAAGCCCTCCAGCACGCCGACCACAGGACACCCCAGTGTGAGAGCACGCAGAACCGCGCACACAGACTGCAGCAGTGACAGCCCTGCGCACGCAGCCTGTTAATGGCCTTCCCGAGACGCGCTTCCCCCTTGGAGCCCACCGGGTGATGCCTGAGCCTGGCACGCTCTCATTAGCTGGCAGAGCTCCCCCTTGTTTAACAGGAGATGGCTTCCTGTCCTCCTGACCCCAAACGACACCTTCATCTACAAACGCCGACTTTCCCTAATTGCACCTTGACAGAGAGAAGACGCAAACCCCTACTTCCCCCTCCAAGGGCTGTCACTTAATTAACAGGCAGGTATCTCTCAGGATTTACAGCCCAGCGCTAAGCTGCTCTCCCTACTCAGGAACTCAGGCCTGTGATGGCTCACTCAATTTATCTCTGCATTTTGATAACTGCATTTCTGCTAATCTCCCTCTATGCCAGCTTTCTGGGTTTACCTCTCCTGGACCCATGGAGAGAGCAGTTAATCGAGTCCTCATCTCACTTTTCTGCTTGCTGATCTCGAATGTCTGTGTTGTAGATGGCTTCATAGCAGAGCGATACCGATGCTGGCACCATTATCAGTTTCTAGTGTAATCCAACTCTCCTATCTGTCCTACAGACATGACTAGAGATAGCACACATGAAAGGGAGAGAGATCAGCATCGATGACGTTAGGGCTGGCTGGATATCAAGAAGCATTTAGTCTGTTCCTCCTTCACAAACTGGGATCATCTCTCTGCAACCTGTTCTTGACATATGTTTTCTAACAGGTTCTGAAAAAAAAAAAAATCCTGTATCGGAGAGTCCCTCATATCCCAAGCAATCCTTTTCAATGCTTCCTGTTAGATGTCTGAGAGAGCAAGGGGGAGAACAATGCTGAAAGACCGTTTTGCACATCTTGTCTGGACGAACGTAGCTTCTGGTACTTGGGGCCACACCGTCTGTCCTGCAGGTCGTGTGGAGCGGATTTGCTTTACTTTGGTTGTGGCTTTGTTTCCATGGTGGGTAAAGGGGTAGCAAATGGTGTCTGTCCCTTACAACTGTTTTCATGGAGCATGCTAGGATCTAGCCAAGTCCAAGGAAACCTAGTGTATTACTGAATGTGAGCGGCTGAGGGTCAAGCGCAAGACCCCTGGATTTTGATGCACAGATGAACAGTCTCTGAGTTAACAGCCGCATTTTGAGAGCTCAGCTTGGAGATGATCTGACTATTTCAGATCGAGTACAGCCCAAGTGAAGATAGCAACAACCAAATGATCTGTGCTTAGGGAGCTGTAAATGCAAGGTAACACTCGTGCCCTCACCTTTGACTCCACGCCGGAAAGACCAGTGCTGCCATGGGACTGCCCATGCAAATTGCCAGAGATATCTCTGCCCTGGCTAATTGCTACCCTTAATGACCTGGTCGGGAGAAGATCACACGTAACAGCTGGGCAGGTGCTGCCTAGGTCTGCATTCCCTGTCTGACAATAGTCAGGATCTCTGCAGCTTTGAGCCTCTACAGTGCCAGAGCAAGTGTTCTGCTGGGCATCTCCAGTGACACAGTGTGCAAACTGGCCTCCTGGAAAAATGTCACTGGCTACTCAATGGACATGAGGCATCCAAGGACAACCAAAGTGAGAACTGGCAGGAATTACAGAGGAGCTCTGCTTCAGAACGTCTGCTTTTTAGTGTCTTGTCTTTCAAACCTCTGCTCCTCTGCCAGAGAAAGCAAAACTTGGGGTCAAACTGGGGGAAGGAACAATTGGAATTCATGCAATTAGTGTAGGACGTACAACATAACATTCTGCTAGCTAAGGCTCCCCAGCCTGTTACCAAATAATGCACAGACGACCTGTAGGTTACGTTAGCTGATAAACACGTGTGGTAGAACTGCGTGTGCTTCATGTCCTGCTCTTTCCCCATCGCTGAGCATTTCTTACTTCAGAAGTCTTTCCTACCCACCCACAGGCTGGATAGCAAAAGGGGAAAAGGGCTGGACTGCGGAGGAGGAGACGCCGAAATGCACAGAGAGCACCCTGGTATTTCAAGAACTGTTGTCACTGCAATTATCCATGAAAGGTTTTATCCTGAAGTTGCAGAAGTGGAACTAAAGGCCAGGGAGGAGTAACAAGAGGCTTTGGGCCATGCTGGCAGTCAGGAGCAGAACTCTGAATCTCCAGAGCCGGCTTTGCCCGGCTGTGATCAAAGACACTGCGCAAGGCTGCAAGGTTTGGGAGAAGGATAAAGAGGGGGAATTGCTGTTCCACAGTGAAGAACTCACTGCAGGTCTAGGGAGCTGGTGTTGCTGCATCCACCATGGTTGAGCCAAGCTATAATGAATGAGGAATTAAACCCAGTCACAGAGTTCCCTTTGATCAACCCCTTCTGCAGCCCTGCCCTGGCCTGGCCTCCCCACGGGACAGCCCGGCCTTTTGGCCAATGCTAGTGCAGCCCCCTGAAACCAGCAGGGCTGGAGAGACATCACTGGGAGGCAGACCTGACCCCATCGACAGCCGGGGGGTCACAGCACCCCGTGAAGACCTCCTCTGTCACTTGGTTCAGCCTGGGCAGAGAGAGAAGAGGAGGAGGAGGATGTGGGGAGGAGGGTGAACACCAGCTCTCAGCTAGCACAGGGTATTGATGCACACTGCAAGCAAGTTTTACACGGGAGCGTGGCAGGGGCGGAGGGCTGGCTGCATGCACAGAGGCGCTTTTCTGGGAAATGTATACAAAGGCTCACGTGGTCCAGAACATCAACTCTCCCGGTCGAGCACGGGTGGGCTGCCTGGCAGCACAGGCAGACATGCTCTGCACGCAGCACCAGTGGAGCCATCTCTGGGTAGTCTCTGAGGTGCTGCGCAAGAGAGACATGTTAACTCACTGCATCTGTAATGCTTCCCACTTGCTTTTGAGTTTGTGCGGAAGCCAGCACGCCTGGCCCACCAGGCCTGCCAGCTGCGCTGGGAGGACTGTGAGACAAGGGGTGGCCTCAAGGCACGTCTCTGAAATGTTCCCAGGAATGGGATGGCCGCTTGCTCTTTGGCTAGAAAAAATCAAAGCTCCCAGCTTAGGGCGTTAAGCTTAATGGTGACATCAGTGGAGATGGAAAAGGGGCATTTTTTCCCTTCAGAGAAGATGGAGACAAATAGAGGCCAGACTCCTAAAAAAATTAATAAGAAAGAAACAAACCCCCTCAAATCCACACCTGTCTGTCCAGTTCCCCTTCAGTTCATGGCTGGCATGGTTTGTTCTCCGCCGTGTGGGAGGATTTAGCTCCTATTGACAGATGAGCTAATCAGTTCCCCTCAGCTCTTGAAGCTTTATCAAAGACAGTTAATCATGTTACTGACGTCTGCCTGGGCCAGGGCTCTCCACTTCCATCCTCTGCCAAGGCAACACACACGCACACCACACACACACAGAGGGATAATTTTTTTCCCTTCCCAATCCCACCGGCAAGAGGATGTCACTAGCAGCGATTGTGCCAACATGTAGGTGCTGCCCATCTCTCTTTCATCCCCTTTACCACCTCTCCTTCCTGGAGACATGTGGTAGCTCCACCAGCATCTCATGGGGGAGCAGGATGATCTCCACAGGCCAAGTTTACATCTCATTGTCAGCACAGTGGTGGCAACAGTGGGAGGACCTGGCCTGGATTTTGGCAGGCCCGAGTCCTGTGCTGGAAGGACGCTGAAGCTATTTGAACCCGGATAGGAGAGTGTGCAGCCCAGACCTCTGTCCCTGCCGCTGGGTTTGTTTTACTTCTGTACCCCAATTTCATCAAGTGCTGCCCTGTGATACAGCCTGTCCTGCTCCTCCTGAGGGCTGCACTGGGGGCTGTGCTCCTTCCCTCGGGAGTAACCCTACCCACACAAACACAAATTCACCAGGTCAAGAGGACTGCCTTGTCTCACCAAGTTTCTGGGAGGCTCCTTCTGCCTTTATACCAGCGTTGGAAGGACCCAGACATGAGAAGCTCTCTGAGAACCTCTTTGCTCTCTGGCAGGGCCAGTTGGGCTGATGTTATCCTGGTGGCCTGTACTTGTGTAGACAATGCTCAGGAGCACATTTGGAGTGGCTCATTTTGGTAACCACCGCTCTCCCAATGGCCTGCCTGGTGAGTGCCTCTGCCCATGGGTATCATCAGCTACATCCCCACATCCCACAGGCCTGCGTGGGGGCTACAGCTCAAGCTCTCCACCTGGCCAGGCTGCCAGAATCTGCTTCGCTGTCTGGGCTTGCTCCGTGTGGGACAACTTGGTCCTCAGAGCTGGTCTGTACCAGCAACCTGACAAGGATCCCATGCTGGGCCATGACCTGGGCTGGTTGGGACTTGCAGCTCCAGGGGGGTCCAAAGAAAGGGCAGCCACCCCTGCTGCTACCCCTTGCCATACCCAACCATGGGACAGTTCCTAAATCAGCTATTCCAGAAAGGAAGGAGTTTCTTTCCCAGTGTTACTCAAAAGCCTTATGCTCCCTAGCCTCCCCCAGACCTCCCACCCTCTTCTTGATCTAAAGAGAGATTTGTTTCTCTCTGGGGTTGCTTCAGGCCCCTTTTCCAGCCCAGCCAAGCAGATACTTCAGGCCCGCCCAGATAAGCAGAGAGGACTTTAAAATAGGTGTCACAAAAGCAAAGAGGAGGAAAAGCTGAGGACACTCAATCCGAGCCGAGCTGTCCCAGCCGGCTCTTCACACCATCTCTCGCTCCTCTCCCGGGTAAGCAGGCGGGCGACCTTGGCCATGCCGTGAGATGCGATCACCCACCTATACAGACAATGTCCATGAAGCCGTACATTCCATAGCAGATCTGGAAGAGCAGGTCCTGGCGCTGCCATTTGGCCGAAGGACTGAAGGTCGACCAGATGAGCCACGAGATACTGGCGATGAGGAAGAGGGAACCCAGGATGGCTGCTGCTATCTGCACCTTCTCAATGACTGTCAGAGAAATGGCCTGCCACTGCAAGGGGAGGCAACAGGGAGAGGAACGGGGACAAAGGGGAGGGAGGAAGGAAAAAGAGAAGAGATTAGTTACATTAGGGACATTGCTGTTTTACATCACTGTGGTGGTTTTGGAGATCTCAAAGAGCACCTGTGACCATAGGTGCTTTTACCTGGTGTGGAGCATGGCAATTGTTCAACAGTGCATGGCCCCCACGATTCCTGACAGCACTGCTGAAGAGGCAATGGGGAGGAATCCTGCATCGCACCAGGAAAGCAAGGAGACGTGAGGAGGCAGGACAGACTGGGGACAAGACACCAAAAATAACATCCCTATGACAGTAGGTCTGTGACAGGCCATCACAAACCAGGACATTCAGTTGCTACCTCAAACAGAGGCCAAGCAGCATCCTATTGCCATGAGAAGAAGTGTCTCAGAGAGCCAAGCTTTCCTTTGGAGGCCTCCCATGAGCCGGCTCTGTGAGAGCCACTTTGTGAGATCTGACAGGATCACAGCACTAGGTAGAATCTTGCAGCAGCAATACACATCTCAGAAAACTTGTTACAAACAACACAAGTTGCTGTGGTCAGGACACCCTGCCTTTAGGTGATGACATGTTCAGGCTGTGTTCCAAGGTAAACGTCAATGCTTCTTCCTCAGAAGAAATAAAAAATAGAAATAACTCCCCCAAATCCATTCGCTCTGTGAAATAGCTTTGTATAAGCTATGGTATAAATATCCTAAGCCCGGACTCCTCTGTCATCTAGCATAAAATCTCCCCACCCAGATTTACACTGCTGAGAGAGCTACCCTGTGAAAACCAAGAGCAGAAATTGCTTTCTTAACAGGACTTGGGGACATGGTCCGTAGCCCCTCCTGCAAATCAGAAATCAAACATGTAAACAGGCTGGGGATAGACTGTGTCTCCTGGCACCAAAACTTATAGGCTTCCTTTAGTTGTGGGATACATGCCCTTGCAGTCTCAGTGGGACTGGCAGAAGGATAAAGGAAGGCAGACTTCAACCTCCTGTAGGCATAGAGGATTCAGAGAAACTGAAAATGTTTAGCTGGAATTCAGCATCCTTGTGAGGTGGCATCTCTGGCGAGCCCTCAGCACCCTGCCCGTTTGTCAAGCATATCCTGGGAAAACAGGGTCACCTGTGAAGCCTTGTCCCATCCTTTTGCAGGGCAACAGGGAGTTCAGTTGCTGGGTCCCTCTTTAATGCCTTGGCCAGCCAGGAGCTACCAGTATTTTTGGGAGGCAGGGAGGACTTTGGATCCTGACTGAAGAGCCAGAAGGACAACAGGTGACTTGTGCTGGTATTGGCATGCACGGCATTGCTACCAGCCCAGTGACCAAACCCCTGCACCGAATGCACTCCTCTGCAAAGCCTGTGGAGAGGAATGGAGGAGAGCTTCAGCCTGCTGCTGAGGTCTGCAGGTTGGAACCGGATGGATACAGGCTGGCTTGGCTCAGAGGTGAGCTGAAGTGTCTGCCTCTGCCAGCCTTGCTCCCTGGCTTACATCCTGCAAGGGCAGACAGCCCCCAAATCTTATGTCAGGGATGTGCAGCATCAGTGAGGTGGGTGGTACCAGTTTATTTCACTGTTGGCCACAGAGTAGACGGCCATAAAGCTGCTGAGCAGAGGGAGAGCTTGTTCCCTGCTGAAGCAAGACTGGGCTCAGCTAACCCAAATTCTCTTCCTGGGCTCAGCTAGCCCCAGTCGCCTTCCTGCCATCCACTCCAGCAGCTGTTCCAGCCACAGGCAAACACCAAGCCCTGGGGCACTCAGCGATGTCTTAAGCAGCCCGTTCCCACTCTGCCATAGCCTGGCCTGCTCTACACCTCCACCAGATCCAGACACACCAGTGGCCCCTTTGTGCCATGAAGAAGCTGAGGTAGTGAACAGCCATCCTCTTAGGGTTGGAAGCTTGGTGGTGCCAGTGGAAACGGGTCATGGACAGATGCAAGGGTGCTGGAGTCCACAGGAGATGCACAGCTGTGCAACTCCTCTCCTGACATAAGACAGAGCAAAGGCTGCCCAGCACCCCCAAATTTGGGTTTTGAGGGTGAGGTCAGTGGCTATGCTGTCCTCCCGTCAGCTCATCAGCTTCGCTCTCAACAGCACCATAAGCAAATGCAGGACAAATACACAACCGGTGCCATCGGCTCAGAGCTCCAGGACTAGAGGCATGTGGTGGGGAGGGGGTTTGGGCACATGCATGGAGCTGCACTTTCACCCCTGCAGCTTTCCCCAGACCTCATCTCCACTTCCAGTAACTGGCAAATGCCATGGGAACAGGAGTGCAGGGAGCTCGGTGCACAGCCTGGTGCCGCCTGCGAAGGTTTTTACTGCAGGTCCTTCCACCTGACCCATGCGCGCCTGTGCCAGCCAATTCATTCTGCATCATTTCTCTCTCTCGAGGAGGTAATGGACTGGCTCCTCACCATCTGTCTGGCACACTGCAAGGCCTGTAATGGCAACAGGTCCTTCCAAGGTAGCAATTAACGACAAGAAAAGAAGAAGCAGCTGTTTTCTACAACTAAAAGCCACGTACAACCAGCACCGCTACTTTGCAGAGACAGGGAGGCTCAGGCATAGTACTAAATACACTGTCAAAGGGGATGGGGCTCAGAGCATGGAGATGTTACACCTGAGTGCAAACTTCAAACCCCTCTCCCAGAGAGGCTGGAACACAGGCAGGGATGCTGCCGGACACTGCCTGACACTGTTCAGTTGGCAGGGAGTTTGCTGCAGCGATAATGAAGAGGCAGGAGTCCATCAGCCATGCCAGGGGGTAGGAAACTCTCCCCCTGCATCTGGCACTAAGTGACAGTGACACACGCAGCAGCAGTCCTGACTGTATTCAGGAGGTGGCACTGAGGTGTGATTACCCTCTGGCAAGGAGGTAAATGGGTCAGAGCTGAACACTGGGGAAAATAACCAGCTTGCAGAAGAATTTAATATTTTCCAGGGGAAAAAAAAGAAGTAATAAATAAATGTTATATTTCCTCTCTGGCAACCCTGAGAACTGCAATTTAGCATCACACATCTAGCCCAAGCCACCAATAACCGGAGTAATTATTTTTCATCTTTTAATTCCATTTTGGTACACATCGTAGGTTATGAGGTTTGTACAGAGAGAAGAAAAGGGGGTGAGACAGAGGATAAAGCATGTTGCTCAGTGAGGGCGCAGCAGAAGGGTCCAAGGGCTGTTTGGAGGTGGAACGTGGAACTGGGCCTGATGCTCCCTCAGGAGCCCTCCTCAGTCACAGCACTGTGCCTTTCAGAAAATCACCCCTTCTCCTAACCCCTCCCTGCCATCGTTACAGCCAGCAGACCACGGATGTGGTGGGTGGCCCTACTGTCCTCAGGTCACTGCTAGAACTGCAAAGAAAGGTCTCAGCAATGCTGCAGAGTCCCTTCACTGGCACGTCTGAAACCCCCAAAGCTCTTTGTCTGAATGCCTGGCTGCAGACACAGCCCCATCCCTCCAAATCTCCAGCTCAAACGTTAAAGCTCTAGCAAGGTCACAGTGTCAAGCAATCCCATCTTGCAGGAAGAGACTAAAACTGAGCCCTTCTTTCCTCGGCTGATAATGACTGTTGAGTCTCAGGTAGCCGCTGAGCCATACTGAAGTGCACCTTTAGCGGCTGGCAGCTTACCCACGTTGCCAATCAAGGATGTGATCTTCAGGCAAGCAGAGATCTCTACAGACGCTCTGCCAGTGCTGAACAGGGCAGAACTAAGGACTTGGTGGCACCAGAAAGCTTTAAAGGCTCCTGCAGGATAACAAGAGCAGCTTTGTGAGCTCCAGGCTTGCAATGGCTTCAGAGTATGCCCAAGCAGCTCTCTGGGATGGCTTGGCACCTGCACTGGAAAAAAGGGCTCTGTGCCTCCAGACCACTCCGAAGCAATGTCCTTATTCACTCAGGAGCTGCCTATCTGTGCTCTGATATCTTCCCCCTTGGCCAATGGCTCTGGCACACCACCCAGCTGTGCATGTGCAAAACACCATGCTCTCTTGGGCTGATTTCCCCCAGGTTTCCCCATTTTTCCCAAATCACAAAGCTCCGTGACCCAGATGCCTCAGAAAGGGTTTCTTAAAAGCCCAGGCCCCCCATCCATGATGTCCTTAGACAGGGGCCAAGCTGGGAACTGTGCCTGCCAGTCATGTCACTCTCGTTCTCTTACGCTGTTTCACAACCTACATGGGACAAACACGTTTCCCTGTTTGCTTCAGTGCTTCTGCTCAGAGGCTTGTGAGTGAAAACCCCCGCTGCGAATGCAGCACAGATTAATAATGTCATTACTATAGTATTTAAGGCCTGATCCGTATTTCCCTTTCTTCGGCACCAGCAGCCTCCAAAAGTTCCCAACCATCAGCAGGAGCAGATCCAATGCAGATATTTGCCTGCAGAACTTATGTATGTCTTACTGCAGCAGCTTGCTAAGACGACTTGCTCGCTGGAAAAGCCTTCCTACACTCCTCTGAGAGCTCCCCCATGCCTGCCTCAGGCAGTTCAGTTTATTTTTATTGCTGTATCTGACACGTCCCCTTAGTACGTATCATTAACATCCTGAGCTGTGCTAGTCAGTGATTTCATTTTCAGACCCAGGATCACAATCAAGCAGAGGTTTTTCCTAGAAGGATGGAGTGGACCATTCCCAGCACTGCTTAGGTCTGGCTCTTCCCTCGCTGCTGTCCTGAGGCCCTGGCCATCCTCCTCAATTACCTTTTGGAGGATGGCTTTTCTTTTCATAAATCCATGAAGCAAAGTTATGCCACTGCTGTGGCAGCTTCCCTGCTGTACATTTACAGATGCTGTGGCTTATTCAGGTACTGGAAAGGCAGCAGGGAGGAAGGACCATCCACAAGGTCCACGTAATGGAAATGTAGAGTGATGAAACCCCCACTCCTCTGTGTGCCAGAGCATCTGGTAAGACTCGGGTTACAGCATCACTATCCTGGAAAGCCCCCGTTATAAGGCACAGGCCATGAAGTCTCTTGCTGTGACAGCCCACCACCCACAAGGTGCAAAGAGTCAGAGATAACAACTGTAAAGCAGAGTTTAACTCCCTGAGACTGCAGACAGTTGCTGGTCTGTGAAGGCTGGTTCAAACGGATCTTGTTTTTGCTAAAATCAGAGTGAATGCGGCCCATGAGTGGCTACAAAGGAGCTGTATAGATGAGATCCACTGCGGAGTCCCATCACAGCTGGTACCTACTCCACTGTGTATCAGCACCAGAGTGCCTGCAGTGCTATCGAAACCCTGAGTTTGGCTTTGCACAAATATTTGCACAAATATTGCAACAAGGAGGAACATTTAAAGCCTCCATGCACACCACTCCTGTCTGGTGACTGGCAGGCTGGAGAGCAGGAGGATGGATGGATGGATGGATGGATGGATGGATGGATGGATGGATGGATGGATGGATGGATGGATGGACAAAAGCTCTGGATCTTCTGGTTGCTCACAGTTGGTGGGATATTTTTGCTCATTTGCTGTCTGACTCCTGCTTGGCAGGACACTTGCCATGTTGTCCAACAACTTCAATCCCCCATTCTCAGCAGGTTTGCAGTGTTGTTGCTTTAAGACTTTTGCTCTTAAATGCCTGCAATCCAGGGATGGGGGTGTTAATTTATAGAGATTCATTCTGCCACAATACGAGACTAAAGGTCTCTCTCTGGTATGAGACATCATAACAGCCTGGAGGCTGGAAGGAGTCCGTGTTAATTATGCATGAACCATGTTCCCCCAGCTGTAACTTCTCTGCCCACGCAACAAGTCTTCACACACATCTGCCCCATACTGTGCTCCTAGGCACTCCAAAAATTGGGCAGCAGATGTCAAAATGGGCAAAGAAACATTCAGAACCTGGGGAACATGTGGGTGTTGGATGTACTTGGACCAATTGGACATGTTTCAATGAGCCCAGGGCCTGCCAGTTCCCTGGATTTGCCTTTCCAGTGGTCTGTCAGAAGAGAGGACACAGGGGATAGGTAAGTCATGTTGCTGGTTAAAATCTAGCCAGGCTCAGTGTGTCACCCAGACAAGCTTCCTTTGACAAAGAGGTGTTTGTGCGGTCCTTGCCTGTATTATGGTTGGTCTGGAATACAGACAACCATGATTTCCTACAGCATTTGCCCTACAAAACCTCTGCTTGAGGTAAGAATAAAGCTGGGCAGAAGTGCCAGCAGACTCTGAGAAGAAAGCCAGGGACAATTGCTTTACTTAAAGACGTGCTGTATGTCCAGGTGGCTCCTGCTATCTGCATGTGGGGTGAGGACCGAGCAGAAAGGATGCTCTTCCCACCTGCACACTCTGTGGCATGTTATGGCACAGAGTGTCAGGGCATTGTAGTCCCTGGGTCCTCTCAGCCTCCTCTTCCCAGTGTCAGAGGATGGTGAGAACCACTGAGGAATAAGGGAAAACCCAGTGGTGTGTGTGGTGATGGGTTATGGGGGGCCAAGCCCTTAGTCCATGCTGGGTACATCAGCCACTTCCCACTGGATTTCACATACCAGCACTAGTGTAGCATCTGCTTCCCAGAAGTGCCTTCGTGCTGGCACCAGACAGGGTGCCTGGTCACAGAGCTGTAACTCCACACATCATGCTGTATTTATTCCAGATCAAGTGGCTTTTCACTCCAGTTGCTTCTTCCCACTCCCCAAATCTCCCAGTGCTTCTGCAAGAAGTGCTGTGAGGTCTAAGCCGGCGAGGCGAAGCCTCCAAACCTGGGGTCTGCATGGTCCCCTGGGACCCTCGCTCTCGGAGCTGAGCTCTCTTAACTCAGTTGCTCCTGCCCACTCAGTTTTTGCGTTTGTAGCAAAGGCCAGCAGACTGGGACACATTCTAACAGTGAGCCCAAAAAGAGCAATCTTTTGTGCAGGCTTTTGAATGTCTGTGTGGGAGGGGAGCTTGTCCATGAATCGCTCCAATAAATTTTAGCCGAGTGAGGAGCAGGAGGAAAGTCACTGACCCGTTGCCCTAACCCAAGAGCAGGAGGTCATTCATTAAAGGCATTGCTGGCCGCACGCATGCCTGTAAATCTGCACCCACAAACCTTCAGAGCTGCTCAGCATCGCACCCCTGATCCAAGACACGGGAAGTGTTAGGGCACTCATGGACCAGCTTTCCAGAAGTAAACAAACACTGCTTTGTCCACATCTCTCCTCCTGTGTTTCAATCTGTTCTCAGTTACTAGAGCCAAGAAATTAAAACACCCTGGGTCTGGGTCTTGGGATGAATATACTAGTCTCTCCAGCACACAGCACATGGAAAATTGAATCAGAAGCTGTGGGACTTGCAGACAGCGTGCAGTCTTTTTCCTTTCCCCAGCAAAACTTCCCCACAATGCCCCACTGATTTCACTACTTCATTTAAGTTTGGAATCCTAAAGGGCTCTCCCTGTTTCCTCACTGTGGTTAGTGACCTGAGGCCTGGAAAAAGACACACTGAGACTGCGGTTTGGAGGAGAGAGCAAGACTTTGCATTCCCCCCCCATACAATGGGCACCATCACTCCTGTTAGAGAGCAGAGGGACCTGCAGAAGGACAAAGCCCTCTGCCAGGTGCTGGACAGACCAACATCCTTACAGACACTGCCCTGGTCTCTAAGCCACAGCATGCTGCTGTAATGTCTCTCCAGGCCAGACGGTGCTAATTAAGCAGTAGTGCCTGCGAGTAATGTGCTTCCTTACTGAGGCACTAATGGTGCTCAGCAAAGGCATGCAGCAATTAGTCCATCTTCAGGTGTTGTCCCCACAATAAATCAATAGTCATCAAGAGTAATTTATCCCATTTTTAACAGTCACACAGCTTTCCCCATTCTGAATCCCGGTTTTAAATTACCAGCCTGCAGTGGGGCTTTTTAACCCACAGAGCTTTTGAACATGGGAGAGAAAGAAGGTGCGTCCTCTGATGCCTTTTATCAGCCACTGACATCAAGATGTGCTTTACCTGTTGTGTGTACATGTGCAAATGTACACCGAGAATAAAGGTTGGAGAGGCCAGATCATCACAGCCAACACCTCTTGTGCCACGCCAGGATGTATTTGATCATGGGGGAGCGGTATAGTGAAAAAGGTGGCAGGACCAGAGAGGAGACTGTTAGAGCCCTCCCTCCTCCTCCTCCATCCCTCATCCCAGCACAGAGGAGGCCCAGCCCGAGATTGGGTTTAATGGCATAACTCTATCACACAGGATCTTAAGATACTGCTGTGCCACAGGCTATATGTGCTCTGTGGAAGCAAATCCCATGACTCCCTCATCCCCATCTGCCCCTGGGGATGGTGGCATACCTGTGGTCTCCAGTGGATGAACACGTTTGTAGGACTGGGAGGTGTTACAGCACTGTCACGGTCACACTGCTGTTTTCAACAGGAGGAAAATGAATGTGGGAATTGTCAAAGGACAGAAAGAGCAGACATCCAAGGGATGCCCCCGGTACCACCAAGCAGAACATGGGGCCTCTTTGGACCAGCCCCTGACAACCCTTTCTAAGCGTCTCAGACATACAGATCACTGTGTGCAGGGAAGGAAAACCCACACAGGTAAAATCCACTAGCTCCCAGAAACAAAAATAGAAATGAGAATAAATAGACTTTGAAATGTCTCTAGTACCTTTACCTGCAGAGGGTTCTTTGTGCTTATGGCAATGACGTGATACTTGTAGTAACACAGCTCACAGCTCCAGCAGCCTCGCTCGCTAATCCATTTGATCAGACATGGCTGGTGCGTGCACTTCACCGATCCATCGCATCGACACGGGCTCAGCAACTCCCCCTGGAAAAGAGAGACAGCATCAGCGAGGCTTCCCTCACGCCTGGCGCTTGAGTATGGCATGGCACGGCTTGGCACGGCATGGCACAGCAGAAGCTGGTGCTGGCCAAAGTGCTCCATCCTCCACCCATTTGCTCTTTGTTCCTTTTTACCTGGCTTGGCTTAGGTAATCGTGCTGCCTCCATCTGTTTCCCTCTAATAATTCTTGGCTGATGTGAACACGGCTTGACAAGTCTTAAATACTAGGTCCTACAGGGTTTTTTTGTGGAAAGAGACAGCTGGGTGGGTAAGAGATGCCTAGTATCACTGCTGAAGGAAAAGCTATATGAGCACAGCTCTTAGTAGACACCACAGGACCCGCACTAGACCACAAGAAGTGGACACAGCTCTGTTGGCAACCAGATGCCACTGTTCCACTGCTCGGGCTTCTGACTCCCTACTACCTGTTGTAGAAAGTGAGGTTGGCAGCGGGGGTAGCTGTGAGACAGCCTCTGCTGCAGGCTGGTGTCCCGCTCAGCCCAGGGCAGCTTTCTCGAGCCCAGCTGGGCAGGAGGAGCCCAGACCCTCGGACTTTCTGTGCAGGTGCCGCTCCTCTCCGGGAGCTGGACAGAGCCCAGCGCCATGCCGCACTTCCCAGGTCTTGCCAGGCAGTGGGCATTAGCAGCGCTAGACACAGGACTTTCCTTCCTTCTGCTCCTGGAACAGGAGGGGCAAACCTGACCGTGGGTGGCATGTGCATGCTTTGGGTCCAGGTCTTTGTGTACCCATAGTCTGGAAGGGAAAAGGTCATCAAATTTAATTCCCTGCCCACTTCTCCTGACAGTCTGTCCTGAGAGTGAGCCATACTGGTGTATAGCCTGTAGGGCTGGCTATTTCCACCTAGAAACAAGCAAGATGGAGCACAAACTGTGTCCTGGCTTGTGACGCCCAGACATTTAGGAATGGTGGCCGAAACACTACACATCTTGGCTCGCTCCCTTGTTTCTGGTGTGGCTTTAAACAGCATATGCAGGAAACCTGGGATATTATTCTGATCCACCTGCTATATTTAGGGAAGAACATTTTACTCCCCATCTCTTAGTGTTTAAAAGCCACAGTATAGGCCCCAACAGTGTAGTTAGCTGTGCTCCAAGATATGAAAACTTTTAAAGGCAGAATGAGAGTATCTATGGGACAGGGAAAGCTGGCATCATACTTTCAGTGTTAGGGAGAGGATGTTTCCTCTTACACCCCTATATCAGCCCCACCACTACCACCAGTGGAGAACCAGGATAACAGACCCTGGCATCTGAGGCTGCTGAACACAGCAAAAGGGTTGGGAAATCAGATTTCGCTCTTGACAATCCTGGTGGGAAACTGCCAGCTTTCAGAGTACCACATCAGGTCTCAGGACCTGAGGAACGGAGCATCACACTGGGCAAGAGTGATACTTTTTTTTATAAAACCTAATGCAAACATGTTAATGATTTCATTTGCTTCAGCTAGATGACCTAAAAATGTCATCTTCCATGGAATTCTAGCAAAACTGTAAATAACTGTTTATGTTACAAAAACAGGCTCAGGTCTACCTGCCACTGGTTTTCATTGCACACTGGAGGGGATGCGAAGGGAGAGGGGGAGCAAGGAGGGTGGTAGGATCTGTGAAGCTTTTTCACCTGGAAAGGTGTGACTGGACAAGCCAGGAGAAGGGAAGCAGGGAAGGGTTAGGTGGGAGGAAGGTGCATGTGGGAAGGAGCACTGACATTCGGCATTCAAACTCCCTGCACGAGGGGCTGTCATGGTCCCGAGACTTGATGTGGTACCCTGAAAGCTAAGGCAGCTTCCCACCAGGGCTAGTGAGCAAGTTTGGCTGTGGATGTTTGTGCCCCTTGCTGGGACTGGGGTGAGAAAGCACAAGTGTGACAGGAACCCGCATGAGCACGTGCTGCCCGCCAGAATGCAAACTGAGGGATCAGGGCTTAGCACAGCTCCCTTGATCCCCGGGTTGCTAAACTGTGCCTGCTGCACCCCTACTCCATGTCAAGAGCCAGCCTGGTGCAAGGACCGCTGCTCCCTGCCTGCAGCCTACCCTCCTCACACAAGTGTGATCCCAGCACCAAACAGGTAACAGGAACTTCCCAGCTCTATGGCGTCCCTGCCTTTCCACCGCACCGCGCACTGAGGTCTCCTGCACCAAGTGAGTGACCTGGGTTTTGTCTAATGAGCAGCTGGAGGCAGCGGTGACGAGGGATCACGAACAGGGCAGAACGGGGCAGAAACTAGGAGCAACAAGCTCCAGGCGAAGTCAGAGGGGAAAAGCGGTAGCTGCAGTGTGGACTCATGTTGGCTTCTTGGGCTCTGGAGTAGATGAGTCTAAAAAATGCAAGCTTGTCTCTTCATGGCCAAGAGATGTCCGTAAGCACCCTACACTGCCGTGGGGACCCAGTCCCCCTTCCCTAATTGGGATGCTCCAGCCCAGACAGTCCTGCCAGCTCCTTCAAGAGCTCAGGACTCAGCTGCAGAGATGAATCCCCCAGTTCCTCGATTTTTGCAAATCTAGCAAAAACCTGAGTTATCACATTTTCTCCAGCCGTGTGAAATATTATATCCTTGTGTGTGGCACACTGCTATTTTTGCATACTGTGAAGCCTAATTCTGTCCACAGCAGGCATTCCTAAAGCACCGCCACATGCACACACGTGCACACGCACTCCCGTACCAGCAGAAAAATAAACACCAGGGGCATATTAAAGGAATAAATCCTCTGTACAGCACAGGAGAAGGAGTCTCATCACTGGCTGTACAGCAAGCTCAGGAGCAGTCCATTGGCTGTGATACGCAGGAAGGATTCACCGCGCAGAGACCTCTGCTAAAAGCTACACACACACTCAAGCAAGCCCAAAATGAGTTGCAGATCACAGCAATTAGGGATGGAAATTAAATCCCCATGTCCCTTGTTGTACTTCTGTAGAAGACCGCTCTGCACAACGTATTCTCCAGTGCTTCAGACAACAGCATTCCCACCAATTCCCTTTGGGGACTGCTCTCCAAAGACCCTTTGAGAGGTCTACTCCACAACACTTACTTTTGCAATTTTCCTTTGTAGATTTACAACGCGTTGCTCGGATCAGCTTAAGCAGCATTTCTGCTTTATCAGCAACTAGTACAGAAATGCTCCCCAGCTGCAAGCCTCATCCTCAGCTTGCTCAGTACCATCTCGTTCCCCTGAAATGACCAAGTGGTCTTAGGACTCAGGGCACCTGCCTTTTTTTTTGTCATTGTTATCCAAGTCTAAATTAGGATTCATGTTGAAAGTAGAAACCCAGACTTAACAAAAAGGGAAGGGTGGCTCTGGCTTCATCCATAATCCTCTCAACATAAGGATGAAATACTCTTCCTTATATATTACTACTCTTCCCTACTTCTGGGAAGTATTTATTACCCAGAGCAATTATGTATAAAATTCTTCCCTCTTTCTGGCTGCGATGGGAGCTTGTCTCTAGGAGCAGCAGCAGCAAGGCCAGGCTGCACTGGCTTTACCCTGAGGAGGACAATACTGCTGGAGATGAACCGGAGCGCGGGTCTGTTCCAACTCTGCCCTCTCTGTATGAATTCCCAACCTGTGCCCGTTGCAATACGTCAAAGTGGCTAATAATTATCTGAGTCCTGCTATTTTAAGCCTACTGGGAGGAGTTCTGAGAAAGGTTGGGAAAAAAACTATTGCCAGCACGTGCTTCGGATGCTTGGTATAACCAGGGAGGAAATCACAACGTCAGGAGCAGTGTCACCCCTGCCACGTGTTGGTGTCTGTTCTTCACCAGTGCTGGAAGCCCATCCACAGGTCACTGCTGCAGCTCCTCACCCGCTAGCAAGCGGTCATGGGATATGTTTTCCAGGCCTGTCCTTTTAACTACAAATTAACTACAGCAAATTTGCCCACCCGGGCTCCTTAGAACAATGCAGGGCTGAGGATGATGGTGTCAGCCGGCCAGGACATGGTCTTCCAGGCTCTCCCGGCTCCAGCTGTGCTCACCTACGTCTGCTGCCTGGGCTGCTCCCGAGCACCAGCTCAGCTGGGGAGAGCCACGTTACCAACATCCCAATACCGCAACCATTAAAGGAAACATTTATGAAAACCAGTGGGAGCTTTACAGCAAACGGGGATGGCTGATGGCGATCTTAACGCTTGCAGTTTTTCCACAACCGTGCATTTTCCCCGCTCAGGTGTAAAAAGCAGCATCAGTCATTCGCATCACTCGAAGAACCAGTGCCCCAGGCCAGAGCGGGGCAGTGAGAAAAAGCCGAGTCGTCCACACTGTGAGGGCTATCTCCTCTCTCTGGGTAAGCACGTGCATCTGCCGCTGCTCACAGGAGTAGCTGCGCACATGGATCCGACTGCTAGCATTTATCTGAGTTTGTCTTGTTTGGAAGAGGAAACCAGGAATATTTAATTTCAGGTCTTCAACCGAGTCTCCTAAATACACTTAAATCTTCACATTGAATTTAAATGCAATGGGAAGTTTTATCCTGGCAAATAAATGCCAAATGATTTTATATTGGGAACATAATTACACAGGAATTAAGTCCAGTGGCAAAGAGAAACCCATTGTTACACAGCTGATAAACTTCAATAAACATGTACTAATGATCACTCTGTCTTCACACACTTACAGAACTGCCCCTCCATCCTTTTAAACTGAACACACACATTACTACCAGCATCCCAGATGCTTCCCGTGAATTCCCTCCTGCGTGCGAGCACTGTGCCAGCCAGCAACAGGCGACAAGGGACACAATAAGCACCTGTGAGTATATCGCATGAAAGCCTCCAGTATTTTGGGAGATCGATGCAGAGCGTGGACCCAGTGAGGAGTGAGCAGGCGTACATCTCCCATGGTTTTGGGACAGCACAGGGCACGGTTATTCACAGGGCCCTGCGGTGGAGTGGCATCTGCCCAGATACCCTGGCAGAGCTGAACACTGACCCCAATCTCTGTGTCAGCAGTGATTTGCCAAGAGACTTTCCCTGGGGTGGGAAATACTGCAACTGCGCAGCTTCCTAAAACCTGTGGAACCTATAGGAAAACGTCTGCAAGTAATCATAAAAAGAAAACACCCAGACTTCTTGCAGCTCCCTTCCCACCCCCGGATGCCACCATGGCTGCCATGCCACCTCCGTGACCAGGACTGGCTCATCCCACAGCTCCCCGGCACGGCCAGGCATCCCTGTGGCATGAAGAGGCAGGGATGCCCCATGCCAGGCAAGATCTATGTGCCCCGGGGGGACAACAAGCACCCTCAACCCCAGCAACAAGAGCAAATGCAGCCCCATAAAGGACTGGAGAAAAATCCAGCTCTGGACAATTATTTCAGTTGCTCAGCTGTTGCTTTAAGCTTGGGGCTGCCCGGCTGAAGTTTTTGGTGTGGGATCTTGGCCTGGGAGCTCCCTGGGGCAGGACCACATCTCTGAGGGCCTCAAGGGGGGTGGGTCCCTCTCTGGGGCTTCTCATTCCCATGGCCATACAAGTGAGCAGCCACAGCCAGGCACAGCAGCCTGGGGGCTCTGAGACAGGTGTGGGGGGTCACAGCTCTGCTTTTTTGTGGTTTTCTGCAATTTTCAGTGGGTATTAGCTGTTCTGGCAGC